TTCAACAATTTCAAAACAAACACTCAAAACACAAAAACTCAAAATGAATTCAAAACTCAAAACACAAAACTGAAACACAAAGAGAACACCCCCTTAGCTTCCACATTCTGTGCAGCCAAGAATCTACTTTTTTTTATTGTAAAAATAAGTACTTATTCTCTGTGGCCACGATAAAAATCTTGTGGCTGAGAAAATCAGAAAAATAGCTGACGTGGCATCCACATTTGTAGGGATGTTTGTTTAATTACAACTTATAAGAAGGATCAAAATCATACTGCTAAGCACTGCCAACAAAGCCTTTGTATTTCTCATTTCAAAGACTATTTTAGTGGGAAGAAAATGGTGGAAGTAAAGGAGCCGGAGATAAAACTGTTTGGGATGAAGATTATGATGCTGGAGAACGGGAAAAGGGTTGTTGTGCTCTCCGGTGGCGAGTCTTCCAACGAGATTGATGATGAAAATTGTGTTGGATCCGATAATGGGTTCTTTTTAGATGATAATAAAGTGAGCAGAGTCGAACAAGAGCAAGATGCAGATGAAGAAAAACAACAGATTAAAGGGGTAATTTGTAGTTGCTCTTTTTCATATCAATGAAATTTTATATGCTTTTGAACTATCTGGTTATTTTCAATCTGGGTTTTAATTAATATATTGCGTTCTTCAATTGTTTAATTTGATTTAAAAGTTTATATCCTTTAAATAATTATTATTTTTAGATGGTTTTTTTATGCCCTTTTTGTTTTTAACATTCATTGTTGTAATGTTTTTATTTTGATTTTTGTGAAATTACAGAAATTTCAAATCTAATTGTTTAAACTGAAGTAGCTCTAGAGTATCTTATGCACTCATCTCTTTACAGCTTTTCTGGACAAAGAATTTGAGTCCATCAGTTGAATTTTCATATATTTTTGTCAGCCTGATGCAGCATATGGATATGAACAGTCCACATTAAATTTGATCAATTAAATGTAATATCTGATTTTGTAGATGAAGAACTCATAGGAATTTATTTTTGAATTCTAGGAGGGATCGACTCAAGAGTGTCGTAAATCGAATCTACAAGAAAAGGACCAGCGTCCAGCTGCAGGGGAATCCCAAAACTCTAACCCTTTATCGGAATTTGATGATCCAAGAACTCCCCCCATTGATGAAGACGTTGCATCAATACATCCTCTTAAAAGTGAGAGTGATCAAAGCGAGGGAACAAATTCACAGCACAAAACTCTTAAGAAACCAGACAAAATCCTTCCATGTCCCCGTTGTAAAAGCATGGATACGAAGTTCTGTTACTACAACAATTACAACATCAGTCAGCCTCGCCATTTCTGCAGGAGTTGTCAAAGATATTGGACGGCTGGTGGTAATATGAGGAATATGCCAGTGGGTGCTGGTCGACGCAAGAACAAGTATTCTGCCTCCCATTGTCATCATATTACAATCTCTGAAGCCCTTCAAGCATACAGTCATAACGCAAAATTTAGGCCTAATGGCACTGTTCTGTCCTTCGGTCCCGACTCTCAAATTCGTGAATCGATGGCCTCTGTTCCAAGTCTTGCAGATGTAGAAGTACCAAATGGTATTCGACATGGATATTATAAAAGTGATCAAGTGGCTCCAATTTCTTACAAAATTGTCGAGAATGGTGATGATCGTCATAGTGGATCGTCCATCACAACATCAAATTCATCAGTAGAGGGAGGCAAGAATGGATCCGTAAAGCCAGTTATTCAAAATAATAATGGCTTTCCTTATCCAGTTCCATGTCTTCCCGGGGTTCCTTGGCCTGTACCCTGGGGTTCTGCTGTTCCGGTGCCAACCATCTGCCCTGCAGGATTTCCCATGCCATTTTACCCTACACCTTATTGGAACGTTCCGTGGTTACCGTTACAACTGCCCACACCAAATGAAAAGGTATCGGACTTCAGTTCCAACTCGCCACTGGGCAAGCATACAAGGGATGGGGAATTGCTCAAACCAAACAAGCCAGAGAGTAAAGAATGCCTTGAAGAGAAGAATTCAGAAAGTTCTATTGTGGTTCCAAAAACTTTACGAATTGATAATCCTGATGAAGCAGCAAAGAGTTCAATATGGGCAACGCTCGGGATCAAGTACGATTCCGTAAGAAGGGAAGGCCTTTTTAAGGCCTTGCAACCAAAAAGTGATGAAAAGAAACCTGTAGCTATGGCTTCCCCCGTAATGCACGCTAATCCTGCAGCATTATCTAGGTCCCTCGGCTTCCAGGAGAGAGCCTGAAGTGATAGTTTAACTACTTATCGTCTTCTCCAATGAGTAGTCTTACTTATTACCAGGCCTTGTATCTACTTCGGCAAAGGCTAGCAACTGAAATGAAGGCTTAATGTTAGTTTCTTCTAAAAGGCCTTGGACATGGGGGCAATCTTGGATAAACCATTGTGAAAATTAGTTGTTCTTGTCTTTTAACGTTGACGAGGTGCTTTGTTTTGTCGATGAGCGTGTTATAATGTACATATCTCCGTAGAAAAATACTGACAGAAGAGGAGATCAAGAGTGTGACATTAAATTAGATGCAACAAGTGTGACTCTATTTTCTTCTGTTGGCAATTTTGAGAACTCGTGTAACATTCTATATGTAATTTGCCGTTCCCTCCTGTTAAACACAAGAACTGTATAAATAAATGTGTGTTGTTATAAAATAACTTTGTGCTTCTAGATGAGTTGGTATTATATGGTACCAAAGTAGATAAGTCTTAACTTCGAGACCCGAAACTTGTGCACCTATTAGACTTTAATGAATT